TAGAAACATCGATGAGAGAGAAACATCAATCAGCTGCCTCCTGCAACACCCGCTATGGGGATGTGCCCGCAACCAAGGTACATGCCCTTGACCGGAATCGAACCTGGGACCTTTCAGTCCGCAGGCTGATGCTCTATCCACTGAGCCATACCGGTTACAGCTAGATCCCTTTTCTCAAAGTGTGATCCAAGGATCCCTTGGGGTCCCTAAATTTCAGTGGATATATGAGGTCAAAACTATTTTCAAAATAATACTAAGACATTATTTGCCTTTTTCACTCTGATTCTGTCACAGGTGGAATTTTCTAAATGCTGCACGACATGTCAAATGCAGAAGAAGACATGAGAATCCAGTTGTCTTTTATTAAGCCAGACATTAAAGAAATTCATAAATATGTAAAACAATGCCAATCTTTTCATTAATTTTCTGGGGTTTTCTGTTTGTTTGTTTTGTTTTGTTTTGTTTTGTTTTACATCATGGTTTCTTCCAAGAGTTTGCAATTATTGATAAAACTGCTATATTTGTGTTAATGGGACAAATAAATTTGGTCTTTTTATAAAACTCTATGACCCTTATATTATTGGGAAAGAAAACTTCTAGTCATCAAACTAAGTATATTTACAAATTCTGCCTTCTAAATGGATCCTAAAATTCATATTCCAAGTTTTGCAAGATAGCCATGGTATGCAAAATGTAAAGTCATCATGCTGTTGTTTCTCTGTTTACACGAGCTATAAAAATACCTCCTTAAGACCACCTTGATAGCCCTTGCCGGTGTGAATGCATCCCATAAATAAACAGGTATAGTTTATTCTTTTGCTGCAGGGTTTCTCAAGCTGGGGAATTTTAAAGGAAATAATGTGTAGTTTAAAAAAGATATTCAGCATACTGAAAGAGACACAGGTTTTAAAAACCTGAAAAAATGTGGTCATCCTGGTTTTGGCCATTTTTCACAACTTTTGGTTTTTAAAGTATAGTTTTCATAACACTATGGTATTTATGTTGTCAGAGGCATATTATTGTTATTTTTAAATAAATAAATATTTAAACAGTTTCCCATTCTCAACTTCTAATATGGTAAATATTACTAGATAAAACTCACAGAAACAAAAGCTCTTTGGGATCTTCAAATTTTGCAGAGTATATAGAGGTCCTGAGACTAAAAGTTTAAAAATTTAAAGAAGGCAGGAAGCAGGTCTTATACGTTTGTTTTTTTAAAATTAAATCTTAAAAAAGATTGTAATACTTTATTGTTGAAAGCATTACATATATCCCCCTTTTCCCCCATTGACCTCTTCTAGGCCACCCCCCCTCCCCTCTTATACCTCTTTGAATCTCCATTGCCATGCACCTTGTAAGATTTCAATAAATGTTAATTGATTGTGAAAATGTGGGAATTTGGAGCATAGATGACAATAAGTGAAAGTAATTTTTGAAGGGGAATGTTTTGTCATCATCTTAAATGTTACATTTTTTTTTTCTAGATACAACTTCCTAGCTATACCTTACCTGTTTCTTCTGCTGAATGTTCATGGGTAAAATAAAAAATGAATACAAAAATAACACTTTATTAAACCTGAGGGAGCACTTCAACTGTCAAGACAGGGGAGAAGATACGATTCAGAAAAGTTTGAACCCTACAAAAAGTTTAATGGGAATGTTAATTTGCAGAAACCCCCATCACAGAATGAGAGAGCTTTAGTTAGGAGGGAAAACAGTATCATAAAAAATGCCCAAGATTGCCCTAACCGGTTTGGCTCAGTGGATAGAGCTTCGGCCTGCGGACTGAGGGGTCCCAGGTTTGATTCCGGTCAAGGGCATGTACCTTGGTTGCGGGCACATCCCCAGTGGGGGTGTGCAGGAGGCAGCTGATCGATGTTTCTCTCTCATTGATGTTTCTAACTCTTTATCCCTCTCCCTTCCTCTCTGTAAAAAATCAATAAAATATATTTTTAAAAAATGCCCAAGATTAAGGAGAAACAGCTGCATTAAAGAGCACAAACTATTTGGCTTTAATTGCATAGAAGATAATTGGCCCCAACTGGTTTGTGAAAGATTCATAAACAAAAGAACACCAGGGGGGTGGGAACCAAAATAATGGTGCAAGAACTGTTAAAGCAAGACAATGAGATTCATTTCAACCTACGTTATTCCTTAAGGCACACTGACTGCAAACTAGGAAAAAATTTCAATTAAAGTTTTCTGAACCTGCCTTGGAGCTTTATTTAACAAGCTGTAAATATATGAGATTTTTTAAATGGTCTTAAATAAAATTTTAATTCTTGTCCTTATCAGAGAGTTTTATATTTCCCTATTCTTTGACTTAAGATTTCATCAATTTGGTGTGAGTTTCTGAAAACACCCAAAATCTTTGATCAGTTTTAGCTTACAGTCTTAAATTAAATTGATTGAATCAAAGCCTTTCTCTAAAATCCCATTTTCAACATAAGTCTATACCTAGATAAACTATAATTTAGGAGTAAAAGCAGAATAACTTTATTTAAACACCTAGAGAGACTTAGAACATTTACCACCAGAACACTCTTGCTGAAAGAACTATTAAGGAATGTACTCAAACAGAAAGGACATAGGTAAGTTCAAAAACCAATGGTGAAAAAAAGCTGTTTAAATGTTGATAAATCATGCCAGTTTATGAGACTAACATACTCTTTAAGCTAAAATCCAACAAGGACAGTAAGAGAAGAAAAAAATTTACAGGTCAAGCTCATCCATGAATATAGTCACAAAAATCCCAAATAAATTTAACAAATCAAATTCAATTTTATAATCTAGGATTTTATCACAGGAATGGTTCAACCTTAGAAACTTTATTAATGTAACTCAAAACTGTATATATAACCATGTCAACATGTATCCAAGAAAAATTAAACAAAATTCAATACTGACTTATGATTCTAATCACCTATCTGCCTTTGTGTAAACACAATCTTGAACCTTTGGGGAAACTATATATCAGTGAGATACATGCAACCTTGGAGGCTTACATGGAAATGGGGGCATAACCTCATAATCTTTCTTTTTTTATTTTATTTTATTGTATTTTATTATTTTATTTTTTCTATTTTATTTTATTTTATTTTATAGTTTAAAGTATTACAGATAGTAGTACATATGTCTCCTTTCCCCCTCATTGACCTTCCCCTGGCCTCCCCGGCACATGCCCTCACCCCCTCAGTGTCTGTGTCCATTAGTTATGCTTATATGCGTGCATACAAATCCTTTGGTTGATCTCTTACCCGCCCCCCACACCCTCCCCTGCCTTC